TAGTCTCCAGGCTTTGAAGATCAACCCTTTCCAAAGGCTATTTGTAAGTTAAATAAGGCCTTATATGGTCTTAAGCAGGCTCCTAAAGAATGATTTGAAAAGTTGAAAACTGCTCTTCAACAAAAAAGGTTCCAAAACTCTGTTTCAGACTCAAGTCCCTTCATTCTTCAGCAAGCTTCAAGTTTTACCTATATACTTGTATATGTTGACGACATACTAATCATTGGTTCAGATGCAATCTTTATCACTTAGTTGATGAAAGATCTCAACAATGACTTTGCTTTAAAGACCCTTGGGTCACTCAAATACTTTCTCGGTTTGGAAGCAACTAGGACATTTGCTAGTCTTCATCTGAAGCAGTCCAAATATGCTACTGATCTTCTTATTAAAACCAAGATGATGGAAACACATGCTTTCTCTACTCCAATGAATGTTGGGATAAAATTGAGTTCAACCGATAGTGAACTATTTCATAATCCTAGTTTATACAGGAGTACGATTGGTGCATTATAATATTTGACCCTTGCAAGACCTGATCTAATTTTCACTGTGAATAAGCTGAGTCAATTTTTACAAGCCCCCACTGAACTCCACTAGCAAGCTTACAAGAGGGTGCTACAATATATTAAAGCTACTATCCATTATGGCTTTTTTTTCAAACCAGCAAAGGCATTACATATTGAATGCTATGCTGATGCTGATTGGGGTGGAAATCTTGAATATCGGAGATCAACCAGTGGTTATTGTGTTTATCTATGACCAAATTTGATTCAATGGAGTTCTAAAAAACAGAAAGTTGTTGCTCTTTCCTCCACTAAAGCTGAATATAGAACCCTAGTTCATACGGCAACAGAGGTAGCTAGGTTGGAGAGTTTGTTTACTAAATTAGGCTTGGTTTTTCACACTACTCTAGTCATTCTGCAACAGATGACAGATTTCAAGCAAGACATAGAAACAAAGATAATCAATGAATCGTTCAACTCCTCAAGCACAATGACCAAATTGAAGGTAAAGGATTTACAAAACATCATGCAATCATAAAAGTCCAAATTCACAGCAGAATAAATGTTAACCAAGAGGCAACAATTAGAAGAAAAATGGGAACTAATATAATCAAGCTGTAATTATTTTCTTAAGATTTAAATTAGATGTTGATATATATAAGCTTTAGAAACAAATTCTGGTCTAGCTTGTTCATGATTGAAGTCTTATTCTTGTACTCTAGTAAGCACAGTGCAACAGCACCATTCGCCATACATTTACTCAATGTGCTCACAATTATGGGCTTTTCACACATAATTCTCTCTGAGTCAACTTGCACGCGCCTCAGCTAATCCCCTGGAGCTTTGAAGTTGATAGTCGGACAAACCCCCTCAATGGCCACCCTTATTAACAACCCAAGTGGATCAAACTCAAACCTTTTAAGTAATACACTCAAGAGTTTTAGTTGACCACTGGGTCACCTAGTGGTGGTTTCCACACTTAATTCTTCTTCACTAGTTAACTAATGGGCCATGTTAATGCAATCGACATGATGCCATGTTGTTCAAAGCTTCATTATTGTCTTGAGGCTGATGAAGCTGATCAACATGATAGCAAGTTAGCAAAATTCAGCTGCAACAGCATGCAGTAACTTTCTTTTGCACAATATTAATGCAATCAACATGATTCCTCCATTAGTGTTTCTTAAACCCAATAAAAAAATAAACTTTACGTTGTTTAAGATTAGCATTGTTTATTATAATAGATGTATACTATCAGTTATCAAGCAAAAAAGAACTCTTAAAAAGAAGCTGTAGCCATGGACATCAAAGTAGACACCACCTTAATTTAGTAAATGGCGAGGACAATTTTGCATTAAAACGTTAAAACAAACCAACATTCTAAGCTAAGAATCAAATTATCCGAATGTGTAAAATCAACTAAATGAACGTACTCATACCAAATCAGATACCATATATATTACATATACATACCAAATCAAATACCATATATATTACATATACATACCAAATCAAATACCATATATATTACATATACATACCCTTCCTTAGGATCATAAACAACCATAAGGGTTGGCGTTGGAATATTGCTTCAAAGAATTCAACCTACATAGGCGCAACGCTGGCATCGGATGTCCGTATACGTTTTACCTCGACGTCGGCGCTATGTTACCATTGATAAATTTAAGGCTCCGTTTGTTACACTCTTGGGAATATTATTATTAGTATTCCCAATAAAGTTAAACAGTAAAATTGACTTATTCTCAAAATATTATTCTATATTATTCAATTTTTTTTTTTAAACTCTCCTAAATTTGTTAATTTAATTAAACACCCCTAAATATTTTTTTTAAAAATTGCAAAAACACCCTAGCAACCCTCTGGCGGTGGTGGCCAGCTGTTCGTATTTAATGGGTAGGTCGAGGGTGCTTTTGTTAACTTTTAATATTTTATTATAGGGGTGTTTAGTAAATAAACAAACATAGGGAGTATTTTTATTAATTTCCAAATCCTACATCGTAATACCTGCCCAATTTAACTTTTTTCAAAATATTATTCTAAAAATTATCAGAATAATGAACCAAACGGACCCTAATTGTTCTGGTTGAGTTAGTCCTCATTAGAGGTAGGCTTTTCCAACGCAAATGGCGCTAGATTTTGCTCGTCCATACGCCAACGTTATAGATGACATCAGCATGTTGGAATTATTAGTGGTTTCTAGAGAAAGAGCAATGTTATGCTTACAACTGAATTCTACAACCAGATAAAAAACAAAGGACAAAGTAATTATTTTACATAAATTTTATGACTTAGTTGTAAGCAAACCATTATTATCAGAAGAATACCATTACCTAGATGATGACAGCTTTGGGGTATTGTCATTTCACTGACACCAGGTCTTGTCCTCGAAGCTTGGCTTCGGTGCATAGAACTTTCTAATAGTGCCTATTTGGTACTTTGAAATACCTCTAGTTTTGTAAGTTGTCTATATTTATTGGTTAGATTTAATTTAGAGTCATTGTTATTTGTTGGTTCTTATTATCATACAAGAAACAACAAGAAACTATTCAGAGAGGAATAATATTACACTAACAACCCTTTCTCATAAATTTTCTTTCACAATCCTGACTTGACAACTCACAATTAATTAGTGGGATCTATGCGGGACCCATGTGAGACCCGTTATAAACTGATCAATTGCGAGCTACGACGTCAGGGTTGTGAGAGAGAGTTGTTGGTATAGTATTATTCTTCAGAGAAAGAGATTGAAATTGTATCAAATATTTAAACTAAACAAAAAATTATTATCATACAAGCAAGCTAAGAATTTATTGTTAGAAATCTGAATTTGCTATGATACCATGTTGAAAATCAGAGGAGAAAAAAAACATAAAAATAAAGAACAACAATAATAATCACAAAAAGGCATACGATATTTTATGTGGTTTGACATAGTTAACATATATCCACTGATGAGAGAGATCCACTATAATTCTATGAGTACGATACAAGTGTTCATCAAACCACCAATTTAGTACCTTTACTTAGGCAGACATCCCGTTCCTATAGTGTTTAATACCCCTTGGTATTTACTCGATACCTGTAGTACCCTTACATCAAAACCCCTTGTATCCTCACATTCTCTCTTTCTCTTATTCACTCTCTCATAACCTTAAATTGGTTCTAACTTCTCTATTTATAGGTAAAATATGATATTCTTATTCTACTAGGATTCAAATTCCTGTTCCTAATAGAACTTTTATAATTTAAATCATTTTCCTATTTTAGCTTAACTAAAGATCTAAACCAATTCCTCTTTCTTAATACATCCCACGATAGAAAAGGAAAACAATTATTCTTAATTACAAATTCCTAAACTAGAAATTTGTTTAAAACTTAAATTCTTTTTTCTTCTTATTTGCCTTTTCTTTATCAATTACCAAAAAGTGTTCACATTCCAACATTTATATCCAAAGCTCAAATAAAACTTTTCGCCAATTTTTTTTTTTAAAAAGCACCCAAACATCAACAGAATCAAGCCCTAAGCTCTTCAACTTAAACACATTACAAGATAGAGTTTTGCGTTTCAGAGTTAATTAATAAAATAATTTTTGACATACAGCTTGGAGTAAATATTTGTTATGCCTCAAAAGTCACGCTAATGTCAGCCTAATAAATGTGCTGCCAAGCCCATATCTTCTCAAAGATATTCACACTAACTTTATCTCATTTCAAAGAGATGAATGGACAAAAGCCTTCCATGTGTCAAGGCAACTTGTAAAACACTCATTACATTGAGTGTTTAGGTGTATAAATTGGTACTTCTCTTCCCGAAGAGGAAGCTGGGCATATGAGAGTTAACCATAGATAAGAGCTCAATTCTTTCTCTCTGTAAATACTGTATTTCTTCATCTTTGTATGACAATATCATAGAAATAGTCAGAGATCAATAAAATAACAGTGGATGTAAGAGTCGCTTGTTTGAGCATCCGAACCACTATAAAAACCCCTCTTGTTAGCCTATTATTTACGTTTTCTGCAACATATATAATCTCAACTCCATATTCAAATCTTATGGATCCATCACGTGTGATTCCTAAGTCCGTTTAGTGCTTCTCACGTGCGAGTCGTTAGCGTCCAAAATCAAGCGTCAACAATATTATATACGTATTTAATGATTTTCTTATTCCATCATGCCTTCGATATAACTTTATAATTATTTCTTAGGATTACAAATTATATTTCACCAATTGTATATTTGTTAAATATTCATGGTCGAAATTGTGTTGCTGCAGCCTGTAGGAATTACGGTTCTTATAATTTAATTGATTTTTTAGTAGAACTTAAAAATAGTTAAAACTGTTAAATAAACAAGAAAACGAATGAAAATTCAAGAAACTAACATATAAAATACATCCGATTTAATGCCCTCAAAAAAAAAAAAAAAAAAAAAAATTACAATAAAGAAGTTTCTGAGTTGAGTGAGGATCTTCATCTTCAATACAAATTATTAACGGTGGAGTATAGAGAATAATTCTGTTGGTCTTCATACTGATATTGGCGAATAGCGAAAGCATATTCATCACTATAAAGCTCTGTCTCATCTTCAAGTTGTAATGGTTGTTGCACCATGGTGGTGGTGGTGGTGGTGGTGGTTGTGGTTGTACTCCTAGCCGGTAGTGTTGCGAGTGGTAGTGGTTCAGAATCCACTTCTTGAACCTTATTCTTCTTCTTCTTTTCAGAATCCACTTCTTGACACTTTCTTCTATTGTTCTTCTTCAGGGCTAGTTGGTTCTTTCTTATACGGCAGACCACGTAATCGTTATGTTGATCCGGAAGCAGCAAAGACGAATCCAAACTATACTCGTGCATGATCCATCCTCCGTGTTGATTGGAGTCTTTGTTTTCGTACCGAAATCTCTTTTTAGACCCAATTCTCTGATTGTTGTATACAATTTCTGTACTACCATCTTCTCCTTTCCATGTCCCTGTGCCAACACTACGATCGATTCTTGAACCTTTCAAAGTCTTTTTCTTCAATTTGGTAAAGAAATATAAATCTTGATCATCACGTTCCTCTCCAAGCCGCGGTTTAAAGAAATTCCAAATCTGCCAAGGTTCTTTAGAACCATACAGATTATATTCTGGAATGAAATAATCAATGCCAGGAATGAGTTGGTTTGCTTTCTTTTTGGAAAGATAGAAACCCACTAATTCGCAGTCTGTAGGATCGAAGACATAGCCAACGGGACGAGAGAACTCAACTACTTCCATAGTTTTTCTTCTTGTTGTGGTGAAATCAAATATGAAGAGAGAGAATGTTAACGAAAGAAGTGAAGAGCTTGATTTGAGCAGTGTGTGTTGAACGTTGAAGGGAGAAGAAGAAAAAGAGAAATACGATTGGTTTAAGGCGTCAGCCTTTTTTATATGTGAAGGGAATTTCCTATATGGGTGAGGGATGAGTTTTGGTTTATTAGTGAAGGGGGTCTCCTAAATAAGCTAAAACAGCTTCTAGTTTGGTTTCTTGTAACCCAAGTAATTAAAAATTTAGGAATGTTAGAAACCCGCGGCAATTCATTAGGAATTAAAGAAAGCAAAAATGCTACGGACACCGAACGTTGATACCGAAATTTTGCACTGATCTATTTAGCATTTGATTCAAACATGATCACGTAAGACATAACACAGGTATTCAGTGAAGGAATGGTCATCCAACAATTATGAACGTTCGTCTATATTTTATGAATGATCATTCATCGTAAATGGACGAGACTCCAAGAAATATCAACGGATCCTATGGATGACTGTTCACCGTTACCCTCAAAAGTCAAAAGGGTATTAAAAGACTGTCCAACTCACACAATTGAATTTTGAAAGGTTCTTAAAAAGCGAAACAGCCTCATTCAACAACCCAGCTCTTGCATAAGTCTGTATAGAAGTGGCGAAAACTTTATCCTTAGACTCACAAGAATCCTCTTTCTATCTGATTAATAACTTGTTTCATTTCCATGATTCGATTCGAACTTGCAAGAATGCCAATATTGTAGCATAAACCGGACCATTTTGTCGATAACTGGGCTATCTCTCTAGGGCTTCATTGAAATTCTGAGAGCTGTTAGTGGATTTTTCTGCTTCCTGATGATCTGAGAAAGGATATTAGGTGTTAAAAGCCTTGGCCATATTGTGATCCACTTCACTGGCAAACTGCCACACAAAGTTGTATTTCAAATCAGTGGGTGCATTTCAATTTCCTCGAGACATTTCATCGAACATGTGCTAAACCACGCTTCTCTCTACCAGTCCAACAAAACCATTGATATTCTGAACCAAAATAATAATAATAAATTGCAAAAAAGAATTACTTCAATGTAACAATTTTAAGCTATTCTTAAACAGAAAATAATAGAAAAAATACATCCATTTGGTACATAGTTTGGGAAAAGGTCATATCAGCGCACGACCGGCAAGATCCAGTTGGTCATGCACCGATATGGCGACTCCGGTCACTCTCCGGCGGTGGTGGCCAGCTGTCCGTATTTAATGGGTGGGTTGGGGGTGTTTTTGTTAACTTTTAATATTTTATTATAGGGATGTTTAGTAAATAAATAAACATAGGGAATATTTTTGTTAATTTTCAAATTCTACATCGTAATACCCACCCAATTTAACTTTTTTCAAAATATTATTCTAAAAACTATCAGAATAATGAACCAAACNGGTAGGAATTTTGTTAGACTGAGCTAATTTGTTTTTTCAACCACAAAATTAATATATGAAGAAGATAATAAATCTTTCGTCAAACCTCGATATTATATGAGAATTTTTTTTTTTTTTAAAATAATGAGTTATGCACTTAGCTATAAGGGGCTGTTTGGATTATATAATGTTTTATTATATAGGTATATCATATTAACAGAAAGAAAAATCACTTCGAAAATTACTGGGAATGTTTAGAAAATGTGTTTGATTGATTCAAATAAATTGGTGAATAATATGTTTGTTTTAGAGGATAAATGGGTGGGTATGTTATATAGATTACTAAATTGCCCTCCTTTTCAAATATTAATATAATAGTATTTTTATTATTATTTTTTGAATCATTTTTTTTGAGCCCCTACATTTGAAATTTTGCTAAAACATTCTAACCATATAAAACTTTAATTTATAGCAAAATCACCCCCACGCACCTCAAGCCACTGCCAATAGTTAGCCACCACTGCCGGCCGTTGTTGGCAATCGACGGAATGACACACAACTGATCGTATATGGTAGGATGTGCGCTGACAAAGTCGAAAATGGCCATGAATCACAAATCCATGATCGGAAAATGGTCAGATCTATGGCCATGAAATGGCCATAGAAATGTCAAATCTGGTCATTAGAAAAGCTCTTATCGATGCACAACCAGCTAGATCCCGTCGGTCATGCACCATTACGACGACTAACACTGGTGGTCGACAATAGTCTTGGGTGGTTGGGGGTATTTTGTTAACTTTTAAACTTTTTTGTGGTTAGGGTGTTTTAGCTAATTTCTCAAATGTGGGGGATTAGGCTAATTGTTATTGTTGACTATAAAAGTGAAAAGACAATACGCTGCCGTTTCTTGTAAAAACTGATTACTGTGAAATCAGTTTGTGCAGCATCTTAATATAAAGCTGTCCTCTCAACTTTACTCTTTAATAACGAAAACAGTACATTCACATTTTTCTTTCTCTGCGATACTCTGCACTTTCTGCTCTGTTTTTGTGTTTACTTTCATGGTATCAGAGCCCTTGACTTGCGTCAATGGCAAACACCTCTCATTCACTCAACAATTCTAACGAAATGTTGAAGCAATCAACTAATCAAACTACATCAACTCCAGTATTAAGTTTGCAGGTAATCAGTCCAAAGCTCACGCAAAATAACTATCGTTTTTGGAGTTCTCAAGTCCTATCTACCGTTGGCTCACACGAGCTTGAAGATCACCTTCTCGGTAGAGTTCCTTGTCCTTCCCCTCTATTAATTTCTGATTCTCAGATTGAACATGACTTAGGTCAAATAGGGAGTACTGTTAAAGTCAGTAATGTCTCTGTTGATGAGAAACTAAATCCTGCTTATATAATGTGGAAGAGAACTGACAAGTTCTTGGTTAGTTGGCTCTTGGCGTCAATTTCAGAGAGCATGTTTGGTAATGTTTCAAAGTGTAGAAGTTCTACTGAAATTTGGTTAGCTCTAGAAAATGAATTCGTTACTAACTCCAAAGCAAGAGCTCTGCATCTTAAGAATTTGCTCCAAACAACACAAAAAGGCAATCTAAGTATAGGTGACTATGTTAAGAAAATGCGAGAGATTGCTGAAAGTTTGTCTGCAAGTGGACTTGTTATAGTTGATGAGGACTTATTACAGTATGTAATTGATGGTCTTGGACCAGAGTTTGATCCTGTTGTAGTGAATTTGACCTCCAGAATTGAGTCAAAATTTGACTCTGTGTCACTACAAGAAGCACAGTTTTTGCTTCAAAAGTATGAGATTCGTCTTGAAAAATTCAACTCGGTTGATCTCTACAATTGTTCTGCTAATATAGCCTCTACTGGTAACTCAAATAATAGCTCAAATTTGCCTCTCCAAGCTGAGTTAGTGAATCAACAACAGTCTGCCAAAACTTTTGGTTCTACCTATAATACTGCACCCTCTCTGATATCTTTAGGTAACCCACACTATCCTCAACCTCTTATCATGCCTTCTCAATCATACAACCAACCTGTTCCTCATAACAGACCTCCTGTATTTGGAATGACCTATGGTCGAGGAAGGGGTAGGAATACTAGAGGAGGAAGACTGATTTGTCAGTTATGTAATAAGGGAGGCCACTCAGCAGGACAATGTTATCATCGGTATAATTCTGCTTATACTGGAGCAATAAAACCCTCTTTTGGTAATGCAGCTTCTCACTATGAAGATTCTTACACTGGTTTAGTTCCTTTTAATAATAATGGTGGAACTCATTTTTCTTATCCTAGTTCCGCTAACTTCAATGGTTCTAGTGGAGTTCAAATGCCCTTTAACGGCTTTGTTCCTGTTAATGGCAATGGTTCTGGTCAGTTTAATGGTCCTAGTGGTGTTTACAATCAGTCAACTGGTACACAACAAGCACACAATATACCGTATAGAGCTCAGACTGTTGTTCACCCTTCTTCTAGTGCTATCAACACCTCTGCTCTTGGAGTTCCTAGCCAACAACCTACTGGTTCAAGTCAAGCTCATTTTGCATCTGCTGGATCTTCAACTTACTCAAATTCTGTTGGCACACTGTCTGTACAACATACCAACACAGCAGCAACAATTCCCACACAGTAGAATCAGCAGTTCACTCTTGCAACATCACTAACCCCAACAGATCCAGTGTGGTATATGGACTCTGGGGCTACTGATCATGTCACTTCAGACTTGAATCACCTGCATATTAGTAAGAACTACAATGGAAGTGATCAACTTCAGGTTGGGAGTGGTGAGTACCTTAACATCTCTCATACAGGTCATACTTTTATTCCTAGTAATCTGCACTCTAAATGTTTGCATCTCAAAAATATTCTTTGTGTCCCTAAAATCACAAAAAATCTGTTAAGCATATCCAAGTTTACCAAAGATAACAATGTGATAGTTGAATTTGATGCTAATTGTTGTTTTGTAAAGGACAAGTCCACAGGAGCCATGCTGCTGCAAGGGGACCTTAAAGGTGGCTTGTACCAGCTGAATTCACTTCCTATTCAGATTATCTCCAGCCCTTCCATGACCAACAGTCAAATTTCTTCTCAACTAGCCTCTGTCACCTCTGTTGCCAATATCAAACCAGTCTATTCTGATTCTCAGAATCTTTTCACGAACTATAATACGAAAATAAGTTCCTTAGAGTCAAATAGCTGTCCTGAAAGTTCTTTTAATGTTTCATCTGTTGTGTTGAATAATGAAGACTGTTATCAACCTGTATTGAGTGAGTCATGTGTCACCAATTGTTCTCAATGTATACCTTCTATTGATAATAAAACTAAGGATGATAGCACTATGATTTCTAATAATACTACTGCATCTGGTTGTTCATAAGATTCTGCTCATGATATTTCCATGTGTTCAAATTCTGATGCTTCTATAAATAAGAATGTTTTTACGACATCTGCTCATTCGCATACTGCTAATTTATATACAAATGACATGGCTACATCTGATCATTCATATACTGCTCTTCCACATACTAATAACATGTCTTGTCTAATGGCCAACACTCATCACTCTGA